CGGCTGGGTACGAAACAGAATTTGGTGAACTCAACCAAAGTCAAAGCAAAAATGAACCGAAAACAAAAAGAGGCCGAAAGATCAAGAAAAAATTATCACAAAAAGAAAGAAAAACTGCAGAAATACATAGACTTCTGCCTATACATGATGAGGGAAAACATCGATTTCGTGCTTAAATTTGAGGAAATCCACGTGGGTACTCCTGAACAGAGGTTTTGGGACGCCATCGAGAACTTCGATACATCATTCTTGGACGAACAGTAACAAAAAATATAGACGGATCATAACATATAATAGCGTAGTAATACAAGTATAATAAGCAAATAATACGCAAAAGTTGAGGTTGAGGCCTTCGCGATGTGGCTGGAGAAGATGTAATGAAAAAGACGCAATGACACAAACTGAGAGTCATCCGATCTCACCTTACATTTTGCCCGACGCTTTGGCCTTCGACTTCAGCAAATTATGATCTGGCCCGCCCAAGCCCCGCTATTGTGAATCATTATACCGCTGTATTCCGGCTGCGTACGGAACAGAATTTTGTGAAATCAACCAAAGTCAAAGCAAAATGAACCGCAAACAAAAAGAGGCCGAAAGATCAAGAAAAAATTATCACAAAAAGAAAGAAAAACTACAGAAATACATAGACTTCTGCCTATACATGATGAGGGAGAACATCGATTTCGTACTTAAATTTGAGGAAATCCACGTGGGTACTCCTGAACAGAAGTTTTGGGACGCCATCGAGAACTTCGATACATCATTCTTGGACGAACAGTAACAAAATAATTGTTACGAAATGCGAATATATAATGTAATTTAGCATTGTTAAAAAAACACAAGGTCAATATAGATGAGGAAATTACTTGGGGAACATGTCACATAAAATGAAGTGTAAAGTAAATATTATTATGACCCTTCGGAATCACAAAATTACTTTTCCTGTCACAAGGTGACAGCCCATGGGATTTCCTCCCAAACAATAGTATGTCGTACAAAGTACAAGTGTCACGACTCAAGAACATAAGTTCTAGGCGGATACTAGTTTATGTCAATCATGTCTTTGTTATATATTGCTCGGTTAAGCACTTGAAGCCTTACGTCACTAAAAGCTTAATTCGATGAAATTATTAGTAAAATAGTTTATAAGTTGAGATACGGTTCACAGAGTAATAAGTTGATAATTGTACTTTAAGTTGATGATAAATATTTTAAGTTGTGAACAAGTTTTAACAGTGATCGATTAAGTAAAAGACCAACTTGACTAGTGCGTCACCGGCCTTAAGTAAACAAAGTATGAGAGCTGAACCGAGCTTCTAACGCCAACCCACACTTACAACCTACAACGCTGATTGGATTGTGTGAATCACATCACCTTGCACAGGGCGTCTTCAAGATCCCCTCAAATTTTATTATAAAAGGAGGCGCACAGCAACAGAACATTCAGTGGACTAGCGGAGTAAAAAAGTATATGAAACGTTGAAGAAGCTCAACGACAGAACTGACGAAGAAGACAAGAACATTTAAAGACGATCAAGATCGAAGATAGAAAAAGAAGAGAACAGTAACGAACTTTAGTTGAATTATTGTAACGATCCACTACCTCGCGCAGAAATAAAAACCTTCTAACAATTTGGTGGAGGATCGGCGTTTTCACAAACTCAATCAGTCCGCCAATTATTCAGAAGAATTTAGAAACATCGTCATTTCGAACATTGGTTAGAAACGAGTGCTTAAACAGCGAGATGACTGGGCCGAACGAAACGCTATTCTTCTATTCATCAATACTTCTACTGACGGCAATGCTAGAGCTTGTCTCATATTTTAGTTGCCGGCCTAAAACAAATGGTCACAACCCAGTGTACAGCTCCTTTGAACAAGGATTGGAAACATGGTCCACCTCTCATCAGTCGAAAGCAGACGAATACGACCGTGCCTACCCGCTCCTTAATGTTATGAATCAGGCTGATATCCAGCGAAAGACGCACCAGTGGAAGCCTCCGTGGTTATGCAACGGCTACTGAGACGCGGCAGAAAAATCTCAGAGATTTCCGGATCCTTCCTGATGGTCAGAACGCTTGTATTATGGACATGAAACTGGACACATTTTAAGATTTGTATAATATAAGTTTTGTCATTGTCATGTTACACGTATATGTTTTTATTTGTCTTTATATTTCGATAATATTAAACACGAGAGTATAGCTGTTCAACTAAAATTTCTTAGGTACACTCAGCATGCTGATTAAACATGTTGCCGTAGGATAGCGCATGCATGTTTTTAATTGGGTCAGTATATAAATTTAATTCTGACGCCTCTATTTGTGCGTCATTCGTCGATCATACATTTTTCTCTTCCCCCGGGACAGTCAAGGGTCTCCCAAACTTGTTGTAATGGATTATATTTCTTTTTCAAGCCAAAAGCTTAAATATTAGACACATTCTTGTTTTCTCTATGTAGACTCGGTATTTATATTTTCGATGAAAACCTACATTTTGGAGTTTGGTTTGCTGTGCATGACGATTAAAAATAAATGAAATGAGTTCAGTAATATTAAGAATTATACGTATAAAATTTGTTTGCATAAGTTGAAATATTTTGAAGAATTATTAAGAAGACGTATAAATAGGTTTAGGTTATTATTATGGAGAGATGTTTTGTCGGAAAAGCTTTATAATAATTTCCTGTTATGTGAAGTTGATCAACCAAGAATCTGAATACAATTTTCGCTGTTGAAATGATAAGATATTTTATGAAATTTGAATAATTTTTGGTACACTTTCTGATTGCATCTACAAAATTTAAAATTTCGCTTAAGTCCCTGGTACATACATTCAGGAAAACAGGCAATTTCTACACCTTGTTTTCACACTGATTTTGGTTTAAATCGCTATATTCTCACGTGTTGGATATATAATTGTAGATTACCCCTGAGGTACACATAGGCATAAGTATAAAATTATATTTAGATCATGGTATCTTGTATAATCAATTATGTAGTGTTGTCGTAGATTAACAACACGTACTATATGTATGGTCTCAGTTATTAGGCATTTGGTAATATGCCCGTGATAGCCACGCCGAGCTCAAAAATTGAAATAGTTGGAAATTTGTAGACATATACATACACATATGTATGATACTTAGTTAACTAAAGTTCTTATCTTCACTCGAAGCTGAGGACAGCTTATTCTAGGTGAGGAGGATTGTTACGAAATGCGAATATATAATGTAATTTAGCATTGTTAAAAAAACACAAGGTCAATATAGATGAGGAAATTACTTGGGGAACATGTCACATAAAATGAAGTGTAAAGTAAATATTATTATGACCCTTCGGAATCACAAAATTACTTTTCCTGTCACAAGGTGACAGCCCATGGGATTTCCTCCCAAACAATAGTATGTCGTACAAAGTACAAGTGTCACGACTCAAGAACATAAGTTCTAGGCGGATACTAGTTTATGTCAATCATGTCTTTGTTATATATTGCTCGGTTAAGCACTTGAAGCCTTACGTCACTAAAAGCTTAATTCGATGAAATTATTAGTAAAATAGTTTATAAGTTGAGATACGGTTCACAGAGTAATAAGTTGATAATTGTACTTTAAGTTGATGATAAATATTTTAAGTTGTGAACAAGTTTTAACAGTGATCGATTAAGTAAAAGACCAACTTGACTAGTGCGTCACCGGCCTTAAGTAAACAAAGTATGAGAGCTGAACCGAGCTTCTAACGCCAACCCACATTTACAACCTACAACGCTGATTGGATTGTGTGAATCACATCACCTTGCACAGGGCGTCTTCAAGATCCCCTCAAATTTTATTATAAAAGGAGGCGCACAGCAACAGAACATTCAGTGGACTAGCGGAGTAAAAAAGTATATGAAACGTTGAAGAAGCTCAACGACAGAACTGACGAAGAAGACAAGAACATTTAAAGACGATCAAGATCGAAGATAGAAAAAGAAGAGAACAGTAACGAACTTTAGTTGAATTATTGTAACGATCCACTACCTCGCGCAGAAATAAAAACCTTCTAACATAATATAGACGGATCATAACATATAATAGCGCAGTAATAAAAGTATAATAAGCAAATAATACGCAAAAGTTGAGGGTGAGGCCTTCGCGATATGGCTGGAGAACATGTAATGAAAAAGACGCAATGACACAAACTGAGTGTCATCCGATCTCACCTTATATTTCGCCCGACGCTTTGGCCTTCGACTTGAGCAAATTACGATCTGGCCCGCCCAAGCCCCGCTATTGTGAATCAGAATACCGGTGAATTCCGGCTGGGTACGAAACAGAATTTGGTGAACTCAACCAAAGTCAAAGCAAAAATGAACCGAAAACAAAAAGAGGCCGAAAGATCAAGAAAAAATTATCACAAAAAGAAAGAAAAACTGCAGAAATACATAGACTTCTGCCTATACATGATGAGGGAGAACATCGATTTCGTGCTTAAATTTGAGGAAATCCACGTGGGTACTCCTGAACAGAGGTTTTGGGACGCCATCGAGAACTTCGATACATCATTCTTGGACGAACAGTAACAAAATAATATAGACGGATCATAACATATAATAGCGTAGTAATACAAGTATAATAAGCAAATAATACGCAAAAGTTGAGGTTGAGGCCTTCGCGATGTGGCTGGAGAAGATGTAATGAAAAAGACGCAATGACACAAACTGAGAGTCATCCGATCTCACCTTACATTTCGCCCGACGCTTTGGCCTTCGACCTCAGCAAATTATGATCTGGCCCGCCCAAGCCCCGCTATTGTGAATCATTATACCGCTGTATTCCGGCTGCGTACGGAACAGAATTTGGTGAAATCAACCAAAGTCAAAGCAAAATGAACCGCAAACAAAAAGAGGCCGAAAGATCAAGAAAAAATTATCACAAAAAGAAAGAAAAACTACAGAAATACATAGACTTCTGCCTATACATGATGAGGGAGAACATCGATTTCGTACTTAAATTGAGGAAATCCACGTGGGTACTCCTGAACAGAAGTTTTGGGACGCCATCGAGAACTTCGATACATCATTCTTGGACGAACAGTAACAAAATAATATAGACGGATCATAACATATAATAGCGTAGTAATACAAGTATAATAAGCAAATACGCAAAAGTTGAGGGTGAGGCCTTCGCGATGTGGCTGGAGAAGATGTAATGAAAAAGACGCAATGACACAAACTGAGTGTCATCCGGTCTCACCTTACATTTCGCCCGACGCTTTGGCCTTCGACTTCAGCAAATTACGATCTGGCCCGCCCAAGCCCCGCTATTGCGAATCAGAATACCGCTGTATTCCGGCTGGGTACGAAACAGAATTTGGTGAAATCAACCAAAGTCAAAGCAAAAATGAACCGAAAACAAAAAGAGACCGAAAGATCAAAGAAAAATTACTATAAACAAGACCTCCTACATCGCGTAAATAGAAGAAATAAAAACTATATAACAATTCTATTCGCGCGGGTTCACGCATAGCTTCGGGAAAATTCAACAGCTTCCGATGTCCCGCATGGGATCCACGCGGATCATCACTGCCAGCATTCTGAGGGTAAATGGAAAAGAATATAGCGGATGCATTGCAACGTCGTGTTGTACAGCACTGCAATGCAATGCGCGTGGCACTAAGCTGTACAATACCGAGATAATTCCTCTGGATGTTTCTCCCAATATACCACCAATTCACATCCTTTGGTGAACACTAGGTGGAGATGGCATAAGAAATCATATTATCCCACTACGAAAATGCCGGGATGTAAGTGGTTATAATCATTTATACCTGTTTAACTATTTTATATATTTCTATTCAATAAGCTATATGCATTTTATAATAATATTGCATAAATATAACAGAAAAACTGTCGATTAGAAGACGGACATGGGTGACAATGATTTCGTGCTTTGTTTTTTAGCTTACAATACTTTCTTTAAATCATTCACTGGTTTTTGTGGAGATGGAGACTTATGTCAGTACCAGTTTGATCTACAGGGTGGAAAGAAAGCAAAATGGGGTGCAGTGTGATCGTTGTTTGCTATGGTTTCACTTACACTGTGGTGTTTATCTTTTCCGACGAAGAAACGCAAGAAATATACGGAAAAACGCAGGATCCGCATACCTCAAACGTGCCCACTCAGCCATTTAAAAATTTCGTGCAGGAACGGCCTTATTAACGCTATATGATGAGATCATAAGAGAGCAGGAAACCCTAGGTATAATAGAGAGGGTGGGGGAACTGGAGACAAAGGAAAAGGTACATTATTGACCCCATCAAGCAGTTACACGTAAAGATACCAAAACCACAAAATTGCGTATTGTTTACGATACGTCGTCAAAGGAGGGTAAGAAAGGAGCATCCCTTAATGACTGTTCGCATGCTTGTGGGCTCTTCACTGAAGCCGTTGTTGTTTTATATATTGTTAAGGTTTAGAGACAACCCAGTGGTGTTGATGAACAGTAGTTCAACATTGTAAAGATCCAACGACCTCACGTAGAAATAAAAGCCAATTAACAATTTGGAGAACGGAACGGCCTTATGAACGCTACAGTGGAACCATACGTCCGGTATATTCCAGTAGTGTTCGTACCAATGAGTCAAACAACCCCGACAGCATTGATATGTAGCAACTCAAACTACGACAGCGCTAAAGACAAAAGATGCAATGACACAAACTGAGTGTCATCCGGTCTCACCTTACATTTCGCCCGAGGTTTTGGCCTTCGACTTCTGCAAATTACGATCTGTCCGCCCAACCCCCGCTATTGTGAATCAGAATACCGCTGTATTCCGGCTGGGTACGAAACAGAATTTGGTGAAATCAACCAAAGTCAAACCAAAAATGAACCGAAAACAAAAAGAGACCGAAAGATCAAAGAAAAATTACTATAAACAGAAGGAAGATCTGAAGAAATACAAAGACTTCTACCTATACATGATGAAGGAAAACATTGATTTGGTGGTTAAATTTGAGGAAATCCACATGGGTACTCCAGAACAGAGGATTTGGGACGCGATTGACCTTGGACCTCTTAATGACTGTTTACGCGTATATCATACTGCATTATATAAGTTTACTGACTATTCACATTGCGAGCGCGACATGCACCTATATAAGCTATTCTAATGTAAAATATCTCGAAAAGTAAAGTAAATTACTTGTGCACGAGTTAAAATATTTTGAAGAATAATTATGACGTAAACATAAAAATTGCAGTTGAAAAAATTGAAGTTGAAAAATATTATCAAGGATAGTCATGAAAAAAAGTTGAATGATGCTAGAGCTGCTAGAGTTCAAGTATCACGATTCAAGGACATAAGTTCTAGGCGGATACTAGCTTGGTTCAATCACTTCTTTGTTATAATTTGCGCGGTTGAGGACTTAAGGATTACGTGACGAAAAGCTTAATTCGATAAAATTATTAGTGAATATAGCTTCAGTTGTAAGATATGGTTCACAGGGTTATTGATTGATTATTTTACTATAAGTTGATGATAAATATTTTAAATTGTGAACAAGTTTTAACATTGATCAATTAAACAAGACCAAGACGCACCAGCGCCCTGAAGTAAACAAAACATGCGAGGTAGACCGAGCTTTTAAACGCCAACCTACATTTCTAACCTACAACGATCGTTGCTTAATTGGGGATCACCTCACTTTGCAGATAGCGGGTATACAGATCTTTTGAAAGTGAACTCAGCATGGACTAGTGTTGTACACAATACTAGGTTTTACGTGCAGTATTGATCATAGTTCCGTGGCAAGAAACGTTTGATGCACCTTCTTGCAATCATTTCAAAATCAACCGAGTGGTTTCCTGTAACCTATCTTTGCTTTAACGCTCTCAAATTTCACACCAGCAAGACACGAACTAGGCATACATTGCTGTACCAAAAGGAAGGCACTTGCCTTTCGATGTGAATTTGAATGCTCAGTGTAAACACTTTCACATGTGCTAAATCAATCATTTTTACCAAGAAATACTAACAACGGCAAATTTCACACTAGCAAGACACGAACTAGCACGCATTGTTGTAGCAAAACGTAGGCACTTGCGTTTCAATGCGAATTTTAATGCTCAGTGTAACACTTTCACACGTGCTAAATCAATCATTTTTACGAAGAAACACCAACCACGGCACAACTCAACCTCGTTGCGGATGTCGGTAAAGAAATAAAGCATTTCGAAATGTTTTAGTTGTTTCTTTAAGAATCGGTAAATGTTTCAGCCAGATTTTTTAGAAGTCACTACGAGAAAACTATTCAAGAACTTTAAATATAAACGCGGAAATTGCCAAGTTTAACATGTGCATTAAAACAAAACTACAATGCATATAGGCATATCACTTACCGCGACTTGAACTGTGGCCCAGGATTATTTCGATATAACATTTTTGGATAAGAATCGTTCCAAATAATTCACGGTCTTGGCATCAACAGTTTTGATCCGTTTCTCTTCTCCTCAGTTTCTCGTTTTAATTTTTTGCTCCAAATCACCATGTAGCATACTGTATTGGTCCATGAATGTCATCCCTTATGTTGACGTTTTTAATATCGTCTGTCATTTTGCTTTTTTTGACAGCTTCTTTGATTTCTTTTTCACTTTTTTCTTAACTTTCTTGGTGGTCACCGACATACCCAAAATCTGATCACACTCACTATGTATCTCTTCAAATCGTGGTTGTAAAGATTTACTTTGCTCATCGCCTGAATCGTATCTTCGCTTTCTGGTCGAACATTTTAATGAAACCATCTCACTTTGTAAAGTTTTTTTTTTTTCGATCTCTTCATCACAATTATTGTGGCTAAGTGCATCAATGTCTGCCGTATCTTTAATAGGCACTGATGACAACGACTTTCTTGAACGTTTCTTTCTCTTCATCTTTATTTTTTCATAGGGATTGCTGCAGATGATAAAAGATAAAAGGTAAGATATATTAACTAGTAAAATGAAAGTGCCGTTTTTACAATGTGCAAACACAAATTATCGTAATTACTCATAGAATAATAGTCACAACTGTTAGTGCTTGTATTTTACAAAATGTACACTTCCCTACTTTGTTTAGCTTAGTACAAAACCTGTAGTAAGGATTTCTTATGTGGATATTTTTCTTCAGGGGACAGTCACAATTAACATTTTCAAGCAAACTATAGTTGTGGGAGTTGAACAAACATTCTGCACTACACTGGTTATAAGTATTTTGAAGTTCCATTCTGTGTTTCATCGGCAATCAATCTTGATTGTTAAAACAAACTTTTAAAATAGGAAACTTACTCTTCGCCTTCTTGATCAGCAACCCTTTTTAACTTTCCATTCAATTTGTGACCATGTCGAGCAGACCTTAAAATAAAATTCAATATACACCATTAGTGGGGCTATAAGTACAGACCTAAATTTCAATGCTTGCCAGTTAGGTAAATTCAAGTACCATTCCCAAACCTTTGATAACAAATTTAGTTACAGACATTTTTGGCATAAAAAATGGCCATAGGGTTTTCAACTTAGGAAAAGCCGACTTACTTATGAGCTGTTCTCCCACCACAAGCTTTGAATATTTCCTCATCTGTAAAACTGGAAAAAATAGAGGAAACGTCATGTAAGGAATGAATGGTGTGTAATGTGTAACCTGCACAAACCCCTGAACAAGGAGTATCATCACATCATACATGTGAAGTTAACTAATACTTTCCACATACTTGGCTTTTACTTCAGGAGTCTCCAGTGTGGATGGAAGAAATGCATCACCATCATTTGTGGCCTTGATTCAAAATTTTAAATAATTGGGATTTAGTAATTTTACCAAATTTGCCATTAATTAAAGCAAAGCTCAGAATCATGATTGTTTGCATCTTTACGTCTTCGAAAAACAACAGATCATATAACTAAGAACATGAGATGTATTACTAATACAGTCCTATATTATCTCTGAATGTTCATATATCACAGAATTTTTTCTTCATGATGCGGGGTAAAAATTTAAAGCATACAGTTAGTACATGCAATATTGCACCTTAACAAATCTTCCATAATACAATTCTTTTCTTTTAACTCTCCATAACTTCTTTGGTCTCACAATATCATTTGAACCATCATCCTTCTTGGAAACTTGTACCCCTTTCTACAGGAGTATAAAAAACACTTCAGTTCTGCTACTGAAATATTGTTGATAATACATAAAAGAAGGTTCAACCATTGCTATGATTGCATCATTAAAATGCCACCCGGGTTTTCCAAGCACACTGGTTTCTCCTCTTGCTAGAAGTATCACTATTCCATAACTACTAATTATTTGGTCAACAGCACACATAACTTGTCAAATGACCCTGCCTGAAATTATGGCTAGCCTTACAATCATAATGTAAAATAACAGGAAACGAATGTTAATGCATCTTTTGTTTGTATTTCTACCATTAAGAGCAGTGCAAATATCAATTCAATTCTGTACTATCAATTATATTGCTGGTCTAATCTTAAATATAGTACCTCAGATTGCTCAACCACAATATTACTGGCAGCTTTGTTAAATAATTGGTCCCACCAGTTGTTTGTAAACTCTTTTCCAACATCAAAACCCACCTAAAAAGGATGGTGCAAAAATACACTTCATGTATTTTACAGTAGGTATAATTCAACAACACTTGCATCAGTTGCATGTTTATTAAACATTTTAGGAACTACAACTCGGCTGGTTTAGCTGCAATAATACACATAGCAATCAATTTACACTAGCTGTTACCCTGCTGTTACAGACAGCTTCAGAAAATCAATAACTACTGTATACTCTCTATAATCAAAAATATATATTTTTATTGTATTATTAAGAAAATATCTACAATATGTACACACCCCCAATTTGTTATTTTTCACACCAACTTTGATTGCATTAGCTCTACCACTCTCATCTTTACCAAGTCCTTTGCCTAAAACATCCAAAATGATATATGTAACTAGTAGGAAAACTCATGGCTACACAATCTATAGGACAGTGTATCAGCTAATGTGTCGGGAATTTAAGCTTGACACATTTTAAGGCATCAATAAATAACAGTCTGACACTGTATCTTGGAAAATGAAATTTTATTCCTCATTGTGTACTAAAAACATCCATTTTACATTACTTCACTGACATGTAAGAAAAATTCATTGTGTAAAGCCCTTTTTTGGCCAAATCTAAGGCATGTTACAGAGTGGTTAATGATAAATGATTACATGTATATACATGTGGCAACTCAATTTCAGAAACCTAGAGTTAATTAACTCCATTACAGAAATAAGCATCAAACATTAGGGTTATCTACCCAATAATCAAGCATGTAAATCTCCTGTTAACATCTAGGTCGAATGTCAAAATTAGATTCCTGACCAAATACATGCAAGAGATTTCACACAATTCCTTATTTTATGTGCATTATAATGTCTTTTATCTACATACAGGTATACAAATGTTTGTGTCTGCCACCTTTCATAGTGAAACATGGAAAATACTGATAATCTTCATACCAGTGCTTTTTAAAAATCAAAATTTTCATTCAGGGTAGCAGTATATTTTTCCATGGCAAATACACTTACAATTTAGGTGTATGTTGAAATGGGAGCTGGTTTGGAATAATTGGGTAGTGTTGGTTTGTCAAATGTTGCCATAGGGTTATGGTGCCAAAATGATTAAAAACATTGTAAAATTGTTCACCAAAACTGTACAAAACATATACCATACCAGCTATATACATACACACAAATATACAGTAAAATATATAGTAAAATTGCAGTATACATATGATAGGAACCTTGTGTAACCATTTTGCCATGTAAGAGGAAATTGCCATATGACCTGGTGACCTTAGAGTCTTAGTTTGGACTTTTATTATGCGGCCAAAATTATGAAATCAATTGACCAAATCCATCCACCCCTACTTTTTATACTAATATCTCAAATCAACAGTCATGTACCAAGGCAAGAAGGGAGGTGTAAGTCTGGAATGCATTTGGGGATTGAGGCAATAGGTTATTATTTTAGAACTACAAATTAAAGGACCAAACTAACTAATAGAGGTGAACCTCAAAATAACTTATACTGTTATTCATCATCACAGGACATTTAGTCATTTTATATACATTATGCGTTGGATACAATATGATACACTGACAGTAGAATTCTCATAGAAAAAGTATACCTTTTAAATAGAGGGAAAAACTGTGAAATACTATGTTTTATGTATTGAAATTATGGGCGGTTGAGCAACTATTCAAAGCCAGTAATAGCATAGTCGCCAAGAATATAATTATATAAAGCGTGCGTCATGTATTATAAAATGGGGAGTATTTATTGATCTGCTAAAAGGGACAGGGCCAAGGGTCTCTCGCAACGGTTTCTCAAGCCTTAAAAAACGGGCAATTTTCAAAGTAGTCTGACACATTTTGCTGGGATAGGGTTAAACGCGGAGATGAAGTTGGAAAACCAGTAGAAAATGGACCTAGCAAACAATCGCCGTTCAAACAATGGCGGACAAAACGCATGCTGACACGAAATATATTTGTCGATGGCCCTTAACACTATTAATTTCGATCTAAACCCAATTTCACAATTGACACTAAGCAAATTTTCAGCTTTTCGAACATCAAATTCAGCAAAAGCTTCGGCTTAGAAGAGGAATTTTCAGCTTTGAAAATCCGTTAAAACCGCACCGTTGCGAAGGAGCGTTCAGCTCAAGGCGCTTTGCTTTTCCCCTAGGGTTTTTTTTGCTATTTCCACGTGTATTGTTTTGCTGTGTACATTATGTGAAGAACGTATTGATCACAGATCAAGTACTGATCTGTAAAACGAAACAAGCTTTACTAAATATGAAATAAACGCCAAAATATCGGAGCACATTTATTTACGAGATATTAAACAAACATTCAAACTGATGACTTGAACATCAAGAAATACTGTGCTTTTTAAATTCAGATACACCTACGGACGTACCTTCGCTCCATCCATGTTTCTGAAGTTGATTCTTAGCGAAATCCAAGCCACAATTATATCTTTCTGAAACGGCTGTCTCTTCATCTTCTTGCCTTTCGTCTTTGACCATAACCACCGCCCTACGTGTCCTTCGGGCTTCGTTTGTGACAAAATAGATAAGACCTCGTGAGAAACGCCAGTAAAACAAACAAAGATGATTGACAACTTTATACAGAAATGATAGGTAGAATAGAATGCAGTAATGATCATAGGGATTATAAATAACACGTGTTACTTATAATCTCTATGGTAATGATTCTGTTCAGGGATAATAGGGTTCTTTTCAGTTCAATGATGATGATGATGTATTGAATAAGGAGTATATAGGGATTTACTAAGTAGATATCTGGAATTACTAAGTATATATCTGGATAATTTTGAAACGAATTTCAGGGCTTCACAAATAATTAAAGACGTCCTAAACTCTTAAGCTAACCTGTTTTCTCTATTTCTAAAAATATTTTCATTCTATTAATTTGAACCTCAGTTATTATAATGGTAAAACCTTAGATATAAAAAAAATTGGGCAAAAATTAATTCTACTGAAACTTGACTCTATGTTGAACCGGTAGCAACGGCATCCCAGTGTATCCCAAATTGTTCATAATAACGATGAGAGACTCCAAATTGACCTTGACCTTTGACGCCTTGTGGTTCATTACATTGGAACGTCTGCTTTGGCCACGTTTGCCAAAGGAAGTGGACGCACAATTTTGGCGGAATCGTCTCATCTTCTTCTATTTATATTCAAATTTCTTCATCATACATTTACGCCGAACGCGCACAGTACTCGTTTTGGTAAAATTTTGCCCACTGGACGTTCGTGAAGTTGATATTTGATCGATCATTATTAATAGAGTGTGGTTTATTTTCTGGTTTTGTTATTATTACCTGTTGAAATTGGCAAGTATGACGCATAATCGTGGTGCATTTTATACGATTGTCGTGCTTTTATCCCTGGTTATACTTGTTCACTGCAAACCTGTACAGAAACCTAACGATTCAGAGAAGAAGAAAGATGAATGGCGAAAGGAGGAAGACCCAGCTTATGTGAAATATTTAAAGCAAGTTATTGAAATACTAGAGGAAGATGAGAACTTCTCAAAGAGACTTGAGAATGTGACAGAGGAAGACATTCGAAGCGGTAAGATTGCTGAAGAGATCGATTTTGCAAGTCATCATATACGTACTAAATTGGACGAACTTAAACGCAAAGAGATTGAGTCTCAGAGACAGTTATTGAGAAAGCAAGAAGATGTTCGTCGTGGTATACATAGGGAGTACTGGAATCCTTTGAACGACAGGGAAAATCCGAATACATTTGAAGTAGGAGATTTGAAGAAATTGCTTGCTAAGGTGAATATACTGCATGACATTTCAGTACCCTTACTTCCAGGGAATAAGACTGAATTTGCCTTTGCAAACACCGTAAAATGTGCAGGTTCTAGACAACTTGCCTGGCAGTTGTCAGCAAAACTTAGCAAAGCTACATTGGAATTTGCATGCATGGGCCCATATAGTCATTCTCTATACTATAGCACATTTTTGTTGCCTCTAGCACCATGTTGGATCATAGTAGCTTCACTGAATTTGTAGAATTCACATCTCATTGGCTTGTGCCTAATCACAGTGTAGTGACATTCAAGTAATATAAACTTAAGGCATGAAAATGTTGCTTTGTGCATCTATCTGCCCCAGTGCAATAGTCCATTGCAAGAAGCTTGCTTGGGGGTGAATATATAATTGTCCCATGCCTGACTGATTTCTTTTGATCATGAATATATTATATATGAATATACACCCCTTCTAATGACACCCCTTCCTCAGTGAACTCTTAAGATATTTACTCTGTATTACTGGTACTCTCTTAGAAGTTTAAAATTGAGACATGCAGTGCCAGTCACGTTATGTTTTGGCTACAATAGGTTGCATTCAACACACCAAAAAAATTTTTTTGCAACATTCATTTGAATGATGACATCATAATTTAGCATCTGAAGAACCATCTTGTATATGACTGAATTTCACTTTAACAAAATCTCAAAACAATACCCTACAAGCGCTTCTAGATTGTCATTAAATAGACAAGGGCTACTAGTTGATGCTTAATTCACACACAGATGAATTGGATCAGATGTCATAGTGCATGCATGTAGATTGATCAGCTGTCGTAAACCAAGCTGAATCAATACATTATTAAAGTATAGAAATACATGACAAAAGGTGTGAATTGAGAGAAAAACAGGGCTTTCAACGAAAAGGCTTTTTATTTTCAACACAACACATTTGAATTATTGTATATTCCTTGTGTATATAATTCTTATTCTAGAATACATCATGGCAGAAATGTCAGGCAGATTTTATTGTCTTAAATGTACTTCCCACTACCTGTTGTACTGGTATAAACTTCCTACCTTAACTATTCTACCTGTGGAATTGCTATATGTGTAATCATTATTTCCTTTTTATCATTTTTAGTGTTTAGACTATTTGTTGTTTGGCTGTAAAATCATTTATAATCTAATTTCTTCACACACTCTGATTTTTACTCTCACTAGCACCATGAGGAAATGAATGAGATTGATAAAAGAAGAAAGGATGAATTTCGAAGACATGAAATGGATAAAGAACACAAACGGAGAGTGTCAGAAAAGGGGTTGGATGAAGAAAAGAAGAAAGAAGCTGCAGAAGAAAGAAGAAGACTGAGAGAAAAACACATCAGAGATGCTCAGAGAGTCAACCATCCAGTATGTGAAACAATTCGAAATGATTGTAGTGTGCTATGCATGCCCTTAATATATGGGTGAAAATAGTAGGAAAACATTTTAGGAACTCTTGCAGAAAATTTGAAGATACCTGACACACACCCTGGGGTGAATTTGCTAGCCATAGGACTGTGTAGTGGTGTAAACCCCTTACATAAAAACTTTCAGCTGGTGCTTCTACACTACCCTATATGACAGATGGTTGACAGCTGTACTCCCCGTACTACAAAACCACAATGGGTCCATCCCTCCCATGATGAACTCGATTCGAATTTACCCAAATTATAAAGCTTTCTCTTCTTTTTACTATTCTGTGCAACCCTATATTCAAAGCCAGGATTGTAACATGCTGCACAGACACTGAATATCTAGTGTTTGCTTTCAACAATTGCTCTCCTTGAAAAAAACAATGTAATATTTTAAGGGCAGTAAACAGCAACTTGAGGAAGTATGGGAAGAAGAAGATGGATTTGACAAAGATCAATTCAATCCAAGGACATTCTTCAAAATGCATGGTAAGTTATGGTAATGTAAAATACTGTATATGACATTATGATTAGGCAAAATATGGAAACACAAGAATATTCTGTATTACATACCTTCTAATATATAGAACGGGGAGAAGGACTGACTGAGGTTAAAAATAGATGGATATGTGTGATGTGGAAAGATGTAAAACAGTCATAAAAATATAAAATGAAACATATTCTGATAAACAAAGACATCTTGCAAACCCAGGCAATGAAGTTTCAGAATCTGGAAAAAATATATACATGTACCATTTGCACGAGTCTTATACCATGAGGTAATAGCCAACGAGGCAGAGTCGAGCGATATAGTTTTATATTAATACATGTAGCCAGAGATTTATAATGTTAATAGAAATATGAAAATATTTATTAAATTTGCATTACAAGAACTGATACCGCATTATAAGAACTGATATACTGTGAGTAAAACCAATAATGTCATGGTTTGATGATAAGCGATTTTGTTCTTGGTATTTTCCAATGCGTAACATTTCCTGATCAAATACAGCTATCTTTATTGCCAGAAATGAGACATGCGCTTATATATTAGATTACAGAAGCTACCACACTCTGCCCAAATACTATAGTTCGGTCCCAACTGATAAAGTATTCATGTTCAATTATTCTTCAATTTTTAAGTAGCAACTTTTTACCCAAATAAACCAAGACTATCGCATCCGTAAAACATGATTTATTTTCTTATGCAGACAAAGATAATGATGGACAATTAGATCCGTACGAATTGGAAAGTTTGTTTTACCGTGAGGTAAATATTTCTAATTTCTATTATAATCTCCATGCACTATATGGCTACGTAGTTTATCAGCTAAGTCTTAAGTTGTTTAATGATGGTGAGTAGAGAGTATACCGAGTAGCGCATAATATACTGGGGCCAGTGGTATAAAAGACTAGTTAACTTTTAACTGTAGTTAAGGATAGAATTGGCCAATCAGAGTCGTTGTGTTTCTGAGTTAACTAGGATTTAACTATGTAAAATAGAAGAGTTTTTTCAATCGGACCCTGTATGTGTGTACGAAACTAACTAGTAATAAAATGTCCATTCACAACTGTTAAGCCTAAGAAATTTAACTATGTATGGCTATTTGTTTAGTATAAGAAGTGAAGATTTAGCCTTGTAGTACATTGTAAACATGCAATATTTCGCGAACTTTGCTTACAATCACGTTCAGGGAAGCTCGCACATGCACCTGGTTTTTACTTCAAGCGACTGTATCCTTCTTATCATTCGTCATCTTCATTCAATATATCTGTTTACATTCAATTCAGGCTAGCAAGATTCACAACAGTACTGATCCAGATTTTGATAGACGAGCACTGGATGAAGAAGTTCAAAGGATGCGTGAACACGTTGTGAAAGAGGTAAGCTGTAATTTCTGGTATTATACGTTTTATATGCATGCGTTCATGCAATACTGACAATGCACCTTTTTCATATAATGACGCGTAGTTTGTATGGCTTGACAATAACCCAATCTCTGAGATGTAACATCATTTTTTACCGTTTGATGACATTATGGAAAAGGCATTTTCCTTACGTGGAAAACAGCAACTAGCCATGAGTTTGATTAATTTGATTCACACAATATTTTCTGTTTAACCCAACTTCCTGCTTGCAAAGAACAGCTTCGCTAGGAATTTTGTCGTCAGCAAATCCATAATTTTAGGTCGACAAAGATAACGATGGTTTCGTGTCGTACGATGAATTCATCGGGGCAACAAAAGATCCGGAATATGAGAAACCGCCTGAGGAAAACTGGAAACCAATTGACGATGAAAAAGAGTTCACCGATGAAGAATTTGAAGAATACGAGAAAGAGTTTGACGATGATGAGGATGATGAGGTAGGCAGCTGAGCTCAAAATAACGCCGGGCAACGGACAATGCTAGTGACCGGTTAACTTTTTTCCTTGCCGGTCATTTTGACCGGTCAAATTTGATTGCTATTTTAACCTAAGTTTACACCTTTAAGTTTTCACCTTTATTCCTAAAATCATCTCTTGAAAAGCACATACTATTAACATACACTATAAATTAAGGAAAATCCGGGTGTCTTGGTTCTTGATTTCGTCAGGTTGATTTTTGAAAATTGTGTGAATTAGTGACCGGACGAAAACCGAGTCTGAAATGAGTCTGAGCGGTCACTTTCGTCGTTATTTTGAACTCTATGGAAGTAAGAAAGCTTTAAGGTTCTTTTTCGTTTTATTATCAGTTCAATATAATCCAAAGAATTTTCGTAAACTATATGCATGCATGATTATTAAAAGTAATCAAGATATGACAGCCAGTGTTTTCTTTATTTGAACCATGCAGGAAGAAAACCACAATGAAGTTCCAGCGGGCGCGACCGTGACGCAACAGGATGCTGCTGCCCCTCATGTACCGCTGGCGCATTCACCGAGCAGGAAAAACGTGAACATGGCGGAGAAAACACTCAATAGAATGTAAATAGAAAAATGTAATCTTCAACGGCATGCAGAACTGTACTAGCAATGCGGTTGGTAAAGCATGTGAGGAATAAATGGGTGTTTATTATAAATTTCTGTACGGTGTGATTGCGGGTTACTTCATGAAGTTATCGATACCCTAGTCCTACAGTGTAATCGAGATTTTTAAAAATCCATCCAATTTTTAATGTATAATCGTTCCAATGTTTTGTTTTGCAAATTTTATCGTGAATGCAAATTTTACAGCCAATCCTGCGTTAAGCCGGTTTTTCACTAGCGATATTTTTCCCGCGAAGCGACTTTATTCCTTTGTTATTTGAGCAATTCGTTCCAGATGGTTGCAGTTGAGAGCTCTGAAACAAAAGTAAAATGTTGCTTCGCGCGAAAAATATCGCTAGTGGAAAACCGGCTTAACGATGGGGGTTTTGAAGCAATATTGCTTCCCATTTGACGGAGTCTTGCTTTCAGAAATTCGCAAATGCCCTTACGTTATGTAACTACTAATTTCATATGGAATCAAGAATAGAAAAGTCTAGCTGTGCCTCACTAGTCTATATCTCACTCCATTGGCATTGCCCATCCCAAAAAGACCATGCATTAGTCACAATATATCCACAAAGAATAATTGTTAATTTTTTGTTTGTAGTGAAATCATATACTTAATCTTATTGGATTTTTATTACGTTCACACTGCGAAAATCTAGACCAAAGCCAGGCCATAGCTTACACCTGTAGGTGTAAACACAACCTAAGATACAAACATTAGCCAGGGGAACTATTTCCTCAGAACAGAATAATTTAAAGATTGGGTGGCATGCACGCTCAAGATTGCTCTGGTCGATTTGCCCCAATGGTAATGGAGAATATTGGTAGTTGATGATCCCGAAAAATTCACTAAAGATTTTTTGAATCAGCCTGAAAATTGTTGTGTGAAAGTTTTTTAATATGTTTCTGAAGTGCCTGTAAGGCTGTAGATCAGTAATTATTGCACTGGTGTTTTCTCAACGTAGAAAGGTTTATCGAGTGGAAGCACACCACTGTCTGCTATTACGCAATCTATGGTTGGACTTGAGCCATCAACACGGATGTTTTCAATCTTCTTGACAATATTCTAAAAAGTAGAATTCAATATTAACTAAGTTGTTCAAGGCTCTATCAGCGCTAACTCTGGGTCATCATCAGTTCACGTTACGTACATACATATAGCTACTAAATTTACAAAGCGAAAAAATCCGAATTTCCTCTCTGGCAATGAAAACTACTCACAATGAGCTTCATTGCCTTAGAGCATCGGCTCGTTTCCATTGTATTGCAGTTGTGTGGTCGACTCAAGCAATTTCGGGAAACAATTTTGTACATCACCCAGGCTGTACTGTATCGTGTTCATTCAGTACATCACCTCCACAGGGTGTGCACTGAGTGAACACGATACAGTACAGGGTGATGCACAAGCCTGCATGCACGGCCTCGCATTCTTCTCGAAAATTAATATTCAAAAGGTCTTGAAATTTTAAAACCTCTCTCAGTCTCAAAGTTGGCCGAAACCTTGGCTTAAACTGTTGAGTGCAAGCATTAAACGAAAGCTTCCAATTATAATCTCTTTCACATTTCCAGCACACAATTTTGCGACATGATACGAAAGAAAACTCTCCGTAAATTAACGCACGATATATGAGTTGTTAATACAAGACAAAATTTTTCAAAGTTATACCTCGACAATTTCAAAAGCCATTTGAAAGAAAGTCATTTCAAAAAACTGATGAAAGAAGGCTTTCGAAATATTTGGATCCTCGAAGCATTTGACGATAATGAATGCAGTAACGCAAACAATTTACAGCACATGCATGAAGAATTTCGGACATCGTCATGATTATAACTACGGTACCAATAATGATTTTTGGCACTTCTCTCGATGCAGGAATATTCTAGAGGTTTAAAGGGTCTTAATTTCGAGTGGTATTATACACACTTCAAATTCAAGCCAGGAACAGTTGATGAAAAAATGAGTCAACTATAGGTCTTCCGGCAGAAATCGAACCCACGCTTTTTGCTCAGTGGCAAGAGCATTGCACCGCCATCGCAAAAGCGTACGTTCGATTCCTGCCAGAGGACCTATAGTTGACTCATTTTTCATCAACTGGCTTGAATTTGAAGTGTGTATAATACCACTCGAAATTAGTACTACAGTACCAATACCAAAACGCTCAGTTGAGTTACTTTATTAACCACTCTCATTCTTGCAGGTTTTTACAAACTAAACCTTACGTACCATCATAACCTAGCTAATTCTATAATACAGTAGATTTTGAGCAGAGCCCTGGTTCAGTCTGAGCCCTTTAGTAGTTTCACGGCTTCTGGAGGTTTTTATATGTGAAAGTGAAAGAAGTGTGTTTTGCTTTGCACTTCCAGACCAATTTATCATTTTGCATGCAATTTAAATACAATCTGGTCCCTAGGAACACTGTATCCCAGAGGGAATCAGTAGATACTAACCATTCCTTCAAGTATTATACCAAAAATAACATGTTGTCCATTCAACCATGGCGTGAGTACAGTGAATATCGCGAACTGGGAACCATTAGTATCTCTTCCAGCGTTGGCCATATTGATCCATCCAGCACCGTAATGGTTCAGTCTGAAGTTTTCGTCATCAAATCTTTCACCGTAAATACTTTTACCTGCCAAGAGAAGAACGTGTGAAGAAGAAACATTTAACTATGTTTTGTGTACTGTGCTTGCTAAGAGCCCTTGTTATAACTTTATATCAAGTTTGTCTGGCTCATAATATAAATTCGCCGAGATTGCACAACGCTTATATCATATAGTATATAAGCGCCCTGGTTTTAATCAACGACAAGGATAGGCATGAAGATCATTTCAAATATACGTATTTTTCGATCATTCCTGAAATGATCAAACGTTGAGAAATTTTGTCTATATAGGTACACTGCCACGCTGCTCAGCCTGCTCCCTGCTTATATATTGATATAAAGTGAGTTGCTCAGTCAATCCTGCACGCAACAGCTCATATTAACTAATTATTGACCGAATGTGAGGTCTGTACTACGAAATATCAGACGGAGGCTTTTTAGCATGGACCGAGCAAGGTCCATGCAAAAAACTTCGGTCTGATATTTCACAGTACAGACAGAACAAGCGAGGTCAACGGGCTGAACTGCATGAGATATCCGGGATACTGGTCCATACTGTATACGAAATATACGGACCACGGTCCGGATATGGGTTTTACGGACCGCTCGTCAACCAATTAGAGTAGAGGTTTTTGAAAAGCCGTATAATAAGCAGTGAGTATAGAAACAGTGAGCACTCTATTTGTATCTATACCCATCATATATTACAATATATTGGTAAATGTACATCAGTATTTTTAACTTTTTTGCATTCATTAATACACCCCCGCGGTCTAACAAAAAATTCTCACAATACCTCCTCGACCATTCCCATGTGTGAAGTCACCACCTAGGGAAATGAGCAATCCATTACATTATATGCAAGCCAACAGTCTGGAAAGTGACAGCTGTGATTCACCTACTGTATTATGTAGTATGTATTACATGATCTGCGGTGCAAAAAGGTTTGCTTCTTAATTTTTTCTTTAGTGACTTCGAGGACGTTTCGGAAATAATAGAGACCTTAAACTTGATGTTTACGACAACCCTCTAACGGCAAACAGAAAAATTCATTTCGAATTTTCAAAACAAATGCTAGGTTTCTGAGGCCGAGAAAATTGGTGCATTATTTTTAAAACAGAGAGTAACTACAAAATTGTGGCAGAGAAAGTGCCAAAAATCTAATTTTAAATGTTATTTGAAATTAGCCGTTTTGCTGTTCGCGGTTTGTCATATTGGTTAAGCTAAAGGTCTCTATTGTCTAGAGTTTATGAACCATCCAGTGAGCCACAGTGGTCTGCTGAAGTGATTTATGGAGACAAAACCTCACCTTGTATCATAAAATCTTTGATTACTCTATGAAACTTACTCCCCCTGTAACCAAATCCTTTCTGTAAATGAAAACAGAACAAAAGAAAGACGTTAATACTTTACGGAGAATTATTAAAGACGATGTTGGTGTAAAAAAACAATAAACAATATTTTGCTATCTGTCTTTCACACAAATTTTTTTTAAAAAAAACCCAACTTATTAAAGAATATTTGTAGATTATTTAAATTATGAGCGCTCGAATTTTTGCCTTTGGTCGCAGTTTTGAGTACCTTCAAAAGTTCGAAAAAGAGTAACTTGACGTTGAAACAGTGGGATGGCAAGGGGGGCAGTTAACTCTTTCAGTATAAAAGGCAGAGACACAGCTACCTGCCCCCCCCTCCCTGTCGACGAGTTCCGGGATGCATACTGAATACTAAGCTGCATGGAAGTTTTTTCAGGTGGAAAAAGTTCAATGACTTTAACTTTGCAGTTCTTTCCTCGTAACAGAAATATTTCCGAATGAAATTCTACTGCATGCACGGTCCGCGGAAAATTTTCCGTTCCGAGAAAATTTGGATACAAATTTCATATGAAACACAACTTGATAGAAAATCTGAAAACACGACTTGACGTCTGAAACGTCGTCAAAATGGCGTGGGTGTAGCATATGACGTGATATGTCCATATGCTTGCCTTACCTCGTGTGTTGCGAGAGCAATAAAATTTTTCACAGTTTTCGGAACGACTTCGCCAAACAAACCAATGACAATCCGACCTTGTTTTTCACCTCCAATTGTGATGTCAAAATACGCCTGGGAGAAAAAAATCCATCATTCATAATCACAATATTCCGTTAAGCCGAGATTCAGGCAGAGCGTCAAATGACTTTGAGGTATTGAAATGAGTATATTACTCATGATTCTTGCAGTCATTTAGTCCTCCCAATATAATAATATGTGTCTTTTTGGTTTCATGAAGGAACATTTTGAACAACTTATGATTCCTAGTCGGCCATTTAGAAGTCATTTTAAAAACCAACTCCACACCAGACGTCATCAAAACGCAAATTATTCACTTAAAAATTAGTCCAAGATGGACGACTATTCAATTTACAACTCGCTGCTTTAGTAAAAACGCAGAAACCGGCCCATTGATGCGCACTACATGAGCAAATCCGAAACATCGAGGCCTGACGCCTTCCGTTTTAAGATTTCTTTACATTTCCCTTCCTCGGTTAATTTGCTCTCTAACTCAGTAAAAATAAGAGTAAATTAAAATGAATCTGAAAATACAAGAACTTTCATTTCAATAGGGGGGGGGGTTACTTTTTATACACGCTTTGAGAGTACCAGAGCCGCTTCCAATTCTTACCCACTGATGTATGTACTAGCGGATTGCAATCTTCATGTGCCTATTAACTGTAGTGAAGTGAACTCAACTGTGTTTATTTTATGATTCAGATCATGCCTGAACAATCAACATGTTATCATGCTCAGTATTAATATATATCGCTCGAAATCTACCGTTGTCTTTAATGAATAAAATATAGATGGAATTAGGATTTAGGATACGCTATGGACAACCTCACAGTGCCATTGAATAAAGAAAAAGGGTTAATTTTACTCGTTATTCAAATCATAGTATTTAATACGTTTTCGTATGCGTAATCAATCGTAAATTACTGTGCTATACATATATAGTTGAATAGAAGCTAATAGTATTTTACTGTCGGTGTATCAACTATACACCGCTTCTTTGTTTACAAAGATGTAACACATAACATTTTAACATTACGCTAATAGTTTTTGCTATGCAGAAAATGAATGGACAATTCAATTCTTACCTTCTGCGTTACCTTCGGCCCTTTGCTGTTCGCGGCATTGACGAGCGAGAAAATGAAGAGGAATAAAAGACAAGAGACCTTCATCTTGTCATGGTTTGAATGCACTCGCTGTTCGTGTGGCTGCAAGACTGCGCGCTGAAATTTGATATCATTCTATAAATGTATCCGGAAGCCATCCGGAAGCTGGCTGATGATAAACTTCATTTACGCGTGCCGACATTGTCATCTAAAGCTGGTTTCAGATGCTTCACCCCCATATTTTTTCAGATGCTTTACCCCCTGCTTCACACGAGCTCATAAGTACTCGGGACCGGGGTCCCTTGCATTATTTGCGCATTGATGATAAGTAGCGAAGTTTGTCCAGGGAACTGAGACCCAGTCACAACTGTCAACGATGTGACAATCTGGAGATGAAAAGGAAATCAAGTAACCGTGAGAAGAATAAAAACAGTGACCATCCTGTCCATCACTCGCAATTTGTTTGATCAAGGTGTAGTGCATGATGAATGGAACTCTAAAAACAAATTTTGCATTTTGTAACTATGCCACCAAAATTACGGTATATAGGTTAGGTCTTAAATTTTTATAAAACGTTGCGCATGGGAAAACGTCTTTGGAAATCATTGACCTCCCAAATCTTTTTAAGTAAGAGCTCTGAGGAAATTAAGAATTAAAACTAATGCTATCGTTACGTAAGATTGATTAATCAAGGTTGGGACGAGAGCTTCAATACTAGTATCTCCTCGGTACCCACCCAAGCTGTGTGTAAAAATGAACACTCATTAGGCTCAACGTACGTAGGTTTTAGGACCACCTGCCACCTGCCATGCAGGCTACGTGGGTCTTCCCTATGTAGAAAACGCTCGATGATGAGTGACGCACCGATATGAGACCAGGCCTATAATCTTATTTCATTATGGCTTATTTATGTATATCTTATTTATATGTAGTATCTTTCGCGAACAAGAAATACGCCAAGAAGACGGAGCTGTCAAAATATATATGGAAGCTGAAGGAAGCTAAGAAAGCATTTTTTATATCAGGGTCCCTCCTGAAAACCGTCCCAGCCTAAAAAATAAAAAGCCGGTTCAAGAAAATGCAACCTCCGCCTTGAAGAAAAGCTTAACGTACGTAACTCGATACCTTATATCACTATGTAAATATAGAGAATAGCAACCAGACCTGTCATTAGCCTGATGATCGCTTCACAGAGTGAAACTCCGAGTACTGTAGCTAAGCTAGTCTTACAATAAATAAATATATATTTATGTATACTCCACGTCATGGGAGCACTTCTCTTGCGATAGTAACTTTTAGTATGTTATTATGACGGAGTCTCATCCTATTTCTCTCTGAGGTAACAATATTGCGGGAACAATGATGGGTGTGGGGTGAGTGTTCCTACCCTCGTCTTCGGCAACGCTCTCGCTCCTTCCACGAAGCGCACGTACACCCGTTGGGCATTTTTCGTTTCATGTTTTGTAATCCCCTTTTGTTTGATGTGGTTTTATGCTAGTTTTATAGTAAATCTCAAGTCGAGAGTCTTGCCTGGAAGCGGTCAAATTGAACAAATAGCAAATCATATAGTAATTTGGAAAAATGATGATTAAAAACGGAGGGGAAATAAAAAACGATATATTCCACTCCAGTGAATATTCAGAGTTCAGAGTGCCAAATAGGGGGTCTTGACCTTTTGTCACAAGATTTTAACAAAAAACTCCCTGTTTGAGTGCGACACGTCATTGTAACCAGCTTAATTCTTTATATGTACACACTAAGCGATATATTCTGTTGATTAAAACAGTTCGTTTGTATTTGCCACAGTCGTGAGGGGATCTTATCTTGAGAAGACATGTCCTGCTCAACAATAATGGCGATAGAGAAGCAGCAAGCACAGGAACAGGGTGCAGAATTAACACCGCAGGGATACGAAGACGAGAGATTTGAGACGAAATTCGTTGATGAGTTTCTTCACTGCTTGATATGCTTGAATGTGTTGAGAGAGCCCGTGATGTGTCGAAACGAACATTATTACTGTCGTGGTTGTATCACGAAGCATATTCACAAAAACTGCCAAACATGCCCAACGTGCTCCGAGGAGCTGACTGTCGAATCATTGAGCGAAATCCCGAGAGCGGTGAAAAATATTTTAAACGAGTTAATCGTTCGTTGTGATCATTACAGCAGGGGATGCCGGGAGCCTATACAGCTCCAGAACTTAAACAAGCATGTGAATAAATGCGGTTATAAGCTAGTTCATTGCGGAAATGAAGGCTGTACAGAGACGGTCAATCAACGAGATCGAATTTATCACGAGAATGAACTCTGCGAGTTTAGACGATCGAAATGCCACAATTGTGAAAACATAAATATCGCGATTGATGGAGTGGGAAGGAAAATCGAGGATATTGAAACGAATATGTTAGCTATTGGCACGAGAACGGCAAATATGGAAGCGGAAATTGAGAACATGGCCACGGAATTGACAAACACGAACGCGAAAATTGGAAATCTCGGAACGGAAACAGCAGAGGCGGAAATGGGCGCACGAAATGCGAATGGCACCCTGGAAAACATGGAAAAGATCACAACTGATACACATGCGAAATTAACAGACGTAAAGCGGAATTTAGGAAACTTGGAGACGAAAATGAAAAACACCGACACCAAAACAGCGGATATGGCAAAAGATTTAGCAGAAATGAAAGAAAAGGTGCAAAACATGGAGACAAGCACGGAAAATATAAACAAGAATTTGGCAGAAATAGGAGCCAAAATCGCAATCATAGAAAATGAAAGATCAAATACAAACACAAAGATTACACTTATTTTATTATTTTTTATAGTACAGTTTGTTTTCTTATTATTCTTCAATCATGGCTTGATTCACTATTCAACATGAAATATTAAAAATTTAGGCATTCTCATGCATTGGCTAGTCCGAAAAATGTAAACAAATTTACCGATTACAGTCTAAAACGGATCCTCCATTGTTCTATCGAATATAATTGACCTGATTGTAATAAAAGATTATTATGCCACTGGTTTAAATAGCATTATTAAAATAACTCTGACTTTTTGGCCAGTGACTTTTGTGTATCTCTTTGAGTGCGTGGATTTCTTTATTGCTGCCAATGATATTTGAAGCTATTGACGCATTGTTGTAATTCATTTTATTGGACTGAATTGATAGTCGTGAATTTTAAAATGCTAGCAGTGGCTTGACTTACGCCTGTATTCAAAGAGCTCACGCACACTCCATGGTATTGAGTTTGAAAGAGGTTATCATATTGGTACTTCTCTCAAAAGTAGAATTGCATTCCAAGTCGCAAGAAAAATTGCACCGTGTAACAGGGCCTTAAAGGTAAAACACTGAGAATAAAGCTCTTATCCTAGTTGAAATACCCTGCCATGAGGAATCATTCCAATTGATATCAGTCCACTCAATGGGTTTGAGTGTGAGTAAGCTTTTAGAAATTAGAATGCAGGCGTAACGCCGCGTAAGCTCACCCCCAGGCCCTCGATAACGCCTCCCTCCCTGTGTGTGACACACCACAATTACTAATACAACTCAACTGAGACCGGGAAATTATAAACGTTTTCAAACATTTTTAAAACATTTTCTCTTCAGTCCCCAACTTTACTAGACTAGACCTGCATGCAGGCTACGTCTGACCCAGACTGACCGGTTTTGCCAACCTGTTCCGAACCGAGAGGGTATTTCCGGTTTAAATATAGCAAATATCTAGGTGCACCCGATGCACACGTAATTATACGCTTATTAACATATCAAATTGAAACGTAATTGGTGCATATATGCGGTGATAGTAGGTATCAGACACCTAACAGCATATACTGAGTAACAAGGTACCAGACTACCAGTCTATGTCGATTGTCGAGTTGATCTGACTTCGCGCCATTTTGTGTGTTAATAGTCGGGGAACAACGATCTGAATTAGATATCTTCTTCGATTTTCTACAGCTTTCGAGGTGATCTTTATACGGTAGTTGTTGGGAAATCTCATTAATATTTATAAGAGTTTTAATATTCAAATTGAGCTATGGAATACGAAAGAAGCAGCGACGGCGGGAATGGTAATGGTCAAGGTCGATTGATCATTGACGAAGAAAAGCTTGCCATTTTAAAGTCTTTCTTCACAAGCAGAAATATGGACTCAACCAAGAAGCAGAACCTCGCGTTATAAAAGAATGTGCAAACCAAACAAATGCTCACAGAACAACAAGTGAAGGTGATAATAAATAATATTGTTTAAAGTACAGTAAACATGAATAGATGCTGCTATTATAAATACATAATTAGTTGCTGTGGTTTAATGTATGTGTTAAAAGCCCCGAGTTAGTTTGTTATGTGGCTAAATTTATAGTGTTTGTGGTTAATCAGTCCAACAGTATTGATTATTGAATTTTAATGTACTGTAAACTTTAAAATGTGCATGGTGAGTCATTATAAACACACTCATGGAAAGAATTCCTCAACATATAGTAACACATTTTTAAAGCTGCAAAACTCATCCTTTGATAAATAAAATTGTCAAGCATAAAGAATAAAAGATTAAAATCTAATGCATTTGGCTGTGTTGCTGCTCGATAATAGTTTTGGTAGCAGACTAACAGATAAAAGCTCAATACTAAACATTATCAGAGCAATATAAATATATAAAAGTAATTGCCAGGATCTAGACCAAGGTTCTGCTGTTCATTGTATTATTGTCAGAAGAACTGTTTGATTGAGAGCCAGTCACTCAAATTAGTATGTTTACATTGTATTAAACCTCTGACTGTAAGTCCTGCACCTATGAAGTTTGTAAGGCAGTTTTTAGTGGGCTTTCACATGCAGGGAAAGCATTGGTAACATGTGTTCAGAAAATCAAACATTAACATGTTCATGCAGCTATTGTTTCAATATACCTGTAAATAGTGGACTTATGGTCGGGGGACTTATATTTGGAATGGTGTATAAACACTAGAAATGTGATAGGCTTACACAGAGGGCTTATAAGGGGGGTTTGTGATGGGAGGTTTATGGTATTTGATTTTGAAAAGGTTATCCCGAGATGGCAGCCCTTGCTTAGGCCCACTCTAAATAACTATAGTCCTGTGATTATGTGAGGTTTAAACTGAAGCATCCATGTGATGTACTATGGGAACTTTTAAATATAAACTGTGTAGCTGGTTGATGATTGGTTAACATAAATAAACTATTAGTGTTGATATTTGGCACTACTACAAATTACTAAAGAATATCATTTGCCATATCCCTGGTTTCATAGTGAAGTGATTAGTTAGGGAATACCTTGGATGCTCTAACTAATATGTCTATTTGCCCTAACTAATATGTCAATATCAGTTTTGGCATCCAAGATATTTGAAAAGACTTCTGTAAATGAACATGATTATTAAATAGTTTTTATGTTAATTGTATAAAACTGAATATGCACTGTAATTTTATCTTAAGTATTTAAAATATCTTCTCTGTTGTTTTTTCTGCTGAAATGGTAATATTTCTCAAATGTGAGGGATAAAATATCTTTATACAGTACCTACACTCTTTTAGTGATAAAACCAAACATTAACTCATTTAATAGCCATGTGCAGGTCCTACACCAAGATATGCATGGCATTTTAAAACCTATCAAAGTCAAACTCATCAATTAATTAATAATATGCTCTAACTACATGTTGTGGCATATTATGTTACATACTATCTTATGCAATCTGGGTGATTTTACCCAATTTAACCTATTAGGTAATTGGCATTTTCTGTACTGTTATTAGTTGATTTACCTTTTATTCATTGTGTAGTTGGTGGTGTAGGGAAGCATGGGTGGCATTATGAGGCTAGCATGTTGCCTTTTACCAATGGTTAAAACTGTTGATGGAAGGTAGTACTTGGATCGCTCATCTCTAGGAAAAACCCCAGACCATCAGAGATGGTAGAGTTACATAGTTGATCTCTCCTGTGCTTTGAGGGATGTTATCTGGGTGCTGTATTATTAATAATATTGTTAGCCCATTGACTTTCAAAACATTTGAAAATTTCCTTGTGGGGCATTCGTTCACCCTAATATCAGACAATTTTACTTGTCATGGAAAGAGTCATGCCATTTAATCGTTGAATTATCTACTGTATGCCTTAGGTATGCATAAATTGTTCAATTCACATACTTATACATTTACATTGAAGCACGTTAACTTGCAGTTGCTTGACTTTCATATTAACTCGAGGTAATGTTGCTCTAAAATAATGAATTGCCATTATGAACAGTATTTACCATATTTTATGTTAATTACAGCACTGGATAAGTAATTATAGGGCAAAAACGAGTGGACGGATATCAGGAAAAGTAGGAAAAAGCAGATTAATGAGAAAAAGATCTGGCTTTAATGTATTTGCCAGTGAGAACCTATTCAAAGGTAACGTTTTAAAATATAGTAAATTGGAAATACCTGCTCATTTATTATGTAATAATTAAATCTATGCAAAACCATCCATAATATTCCATGTAAGTTGTGTAGTTACAGTACTTTTTCAGAATTCTTTATTGTATAATTTAATACTTTATCTCTTATTTTGTAGAAAGCAGTGGATCTTCCTCTAATGCCTTCAAAAACATTGGTGACAAATGGAGAACCCTTTCAGATGAACAAAAAGACACCTTTAGAAGAAAAGCATTGGAATCAGATAAAGATGTTTGCCTTCCTTCCAACAATGCCAAGGCTAAAAAAATAATAAACAATGATGAAAGAGGTACAGTAAATCGTACGATAAAATGTAGCGTCGTGTCTCTATTGTTATGTAATTACTTATTTCATTTCACAAATTTATTTATATTGAAACCTTCATTATCCTATACAGCTAAGGGGTTTTCCTACCAAAAACGTAAACCTTAAACAACTTAGAGCGTGCAAAAAGCAATGGGTTATTATTTAGCATATGTACACTCCGAAAACTAGTCTTGTATTTTGTAACAAACCACCCCTATATACGCAATACCCAGTGGCGTAGCCAGCCCGAAGATTTTGTCCCGCTATGTAAATTTCGAGTTATTATAATTGTAGGTTTGAAACGTACACGTAGTCTGGAATATCGATATGTTGCCATTTCCATGCCCAGAGAGTCTACAATAATTATTCATTTCTTTAGAAATATATTGTTTTTACAGTCAATGAACACCAAAATACTGACTTACTGTGCCTAACCAGCTTACTAAATATAGCTTAATACTAAATATAGCTTACTAACCAACTAAACAACCATATATACATACATACATACAGGCTAATTCGCTGAATAGCTAACTAAGTACTGTAAATAACTACCCTTTATTCTCTATCAGCTGGTTGTTATAATTGTACAGTACGGTACAAGACGTTTCGTAGTGTAGAGACTTTATTATATTTCCCTCACATACAATATACATGTATGTTTTGATGTTTATGTTAAAGGTTCAAGAATTGGAAGCTTTAGGAGGCCACTGTTTATTGATCTGCGGCTTTGAAGGCCATGTTTTCCATGGCTCAACAGATGTCGGCAATAAGATGTTGAATGATAGCGAAAACGATTTGGTACATCACTTCGCCAATTTGCTGCAGTGTAAGTTTCGGATACAAATATAGTTGGATCTAAAGCAAGATGGGTCCAGCGCGATTTGGTAGGGGGAGTTTGATAAAAATATTTGAAAATGAGATGATATTGTATTGCTTCGCTTGTACCTCTCCTGCACCCCCTTTGGCCTAAGTAATAATATTTACTATTGAATGTTATGATTAACTAAACGTTAAGTAAACTTGACTGTATAGGTTCTCAGGATGGAAAGGAGAATATTTCCGTAAAAGCTATTCAAGAACTTTTTAATAAAAAATACGGTGAGCACAAGTTATGTATTGAAAGTTGTAGTTTGAGTACAGGCAGCGTAGTTGGCATAGTCACTGTATATACTGTGATGTCTGTGCATGAGCATAAAGAGTTTGTTATACAGTGTATACAGGGTGTATAAAAAAAGGAGACCTTTATTTATTGTATGTAATGGTAAAGTTTCAGATACATTGCTTGATTTTAATAGGTGAAGTTGTGAAAAAGAAAAACGGGAAAATGCCATATTCGAAAATTCAAGAATATGGTATTGCTTTTATCGGACTTCCAGCTCATCTGGAGATAGATATTGGAACTACACCACGAAAGCCTGCTCTGTACGGTTCGGCTCAGCGTCGTGAATTGTGGCAGTCTAGAAATGCTTGGTCATTAACTATTACTTCATCAAGTAATCTTATTTCCAATGCTCACACTGATGCCGGTCATTCTGCTCTCCAATCTATTTCTGATCCTGTTGTCTCTAACTGTAATTCAACGCTTCAACTTCCAATCCTCCTACTTCTACTGCCTTACATTCTACTTTTTGTCTACACCTTCGACTTCCCATCCTCTTACTTCCAGTCCTGCTGTCTCTAGCTCCCCCAGTTCTAGTTCTTCCCTGCCTACTCCTTCAACATCCAATCCTCGCATTTCTATTGCCTCTGTTAATGTCCCTAATTCTAGCTCTTCTGTTTCAAAACCTTCTGCTTTCAATCCTCTTACCTCTAGTTGTCTTACATCTACTTCTTCTCCTCTTTTGTCGGACACATCCAATGTTTCTTTGCCTGTTAATTCCAGTCCTGTTATGGCCGTATCAAGTCCCGCAACCCTCGCTTCTTTGCAGGAAATTCACAAAACAAAAGCTATCAGAGTACCAAAAGGTGTATATTAATTCCTGTTTAAATTTCGAATTATGTACAAGTGCCAATGTCTTTTAGTAATTTGAAACATTGCATATAGTACGAGTACGGTAACTATGTTTCTCATATATTGCATAATTTTAGACATGTTGTTTGGTCTGATGGCGAAGAATAGTAATGATGTACAGGCTATAGCAGTAGTATCGGGACAAACTCGCGTCCACGGGCGAAACGTGGGAGTTGGAAATGTTGTTGTCGAAATTCGCCGCATTATTCAACCTGGGTTGCTTCCTTTTTGTCCTGGTGCATTTGATACGGACGAATCTGTCGTCGTAGGTGCTTTTTACGAGTGGCCCTGTAACAGATTAGCTCTTCTGCATGTGCAGTAACCCTTAACTAGTTAATACGTGGGCATGGCATTGATATTATAAATTTCTTCTCAGTAGTTTAGTTTCTTTATGTTAAAAAAACGAGAAATATGTATCTTGTCAATATGCATTTTTCTGAATAAAAATATTTGAGGTACGATTTACAGTATTTAGTATTCTAGAGAACAGTTTTATGCATTTAAAATGTTACACATTCAACCTCTGATATGATCTTATATTCATTGTTGTCTTATTAACCAATGATGATTTTTTTGATTCAGGAACGTAAACTGCGTCAGGTTGACTTTGTGTTGGTTCGACTCCAACTCGCAGTGAATTACCTCCCCATTTCAAACTTAGAACTTATGCTCTTTGATTACGATGACAACAACAGTAGTGTATAGGGGCTGTTACATGAGCCCGGTTACCCGAGATTCAACGAAGCGTGAGAGGACTCTGAGGTATTGAAATAAGACTTTATGAATTACGACACCAAACAAGCACATGCTATTGTTGTGGTGATTATACGACTGCCAGGAACATGTTATCTGCTCATTTCAATACCTCGAAGTCATCTCACGCTTCGTTGAATCGCGGGTAAACGGGCTCATGTAAACAGCCCCTTAGTATATGGTTAACTAATCAAGATCTGTTTGAATTCAATGCTTGAATAAGTAGATGTCTGGCTCCAGGGGGTGGTTGTTCAAAAGCCGGTTAACTTAATCCTGGGTTAAAGCACAGTTATAAAATATACATGGTTTGGAGACTATGTTGAGGTAGATTTATGGAAAAAATTGTTCTTTTCTCATCACATGTCTATTGTATTTTGCAACAGATAAACCAATAGCAATCTTGTTATTAACATATCTTTCAAGTCAAGGTTGAGGAGCTTTCTTAGCTATTCTATCAACTGTGGTTAAAGCAAATCTCTACATAAATTTTTATAATCGCTTGTTTACAAAATTGAATATCTTTTTTCATAAATATTGTCTGGACCGATAGAAGTCATATTTTACCAAGTTTTAAAACGAACAGTGGTTCAAAAAAAGAGTAAAACAATGAGTTAAAATTTAACCCAGGGTTATTAATATTATAGGTTTGAACCGGCCCCTGGACTCTGATGGAGACTTCACAAAAGCTACAGCGGTTTTGGACAACAGTGAAGAACTTGGTGAAATTAGCTGAAACTTTGCAATGTTGAGTCTTTTATCGATATAAACTCATGGCCGAAATATTTAATCAAAATATGGAAACGTTCTTATTGAAATACATTTCCCGACTTCATGGGCGGTACCAGTATATAACTACATACTAAGGCTTCACAAAAGCTACAGCATTTTTGGAAAACAATTAAGAACTTGGTGAAATTAGCTGAAACTTTGCAATATTGAGTCTTTTATCGATATTAACTCATGGCCGAAATATTTAATCAAAATATGGAAACGTTCTTATTGAAATACATTTCCCGACTTCATGGGCGGTAGCAGTATAACTACATTACTAAGGCTTCACAAAAGCTACAGCGTTTTGAAAAACAATGAAGAACTTGGTGAAATTAGCTGAAACTTTGCAATGTTGAGTCTTTTATCGATATTAACTCATGGCCGAAATATTAAATCAAAATATAGAAACGTTCTTATTGAAATACATTTCCCGACTTCATGGGCGGTAGTAGTATAACTACATACTAAGGCTTCACAAAAGCTACAGCGTTTTTGAAAAACAATTAAGAACTTGGTGAAATTAGCTGAAACTTTGCAATGTTGAGTCTTTTATCGATATTAACTCATGGCCGAAATATTTAATCAAAATATGGAAACGTTCTTATTGAAATACATTTCCCGACTTCATGGGCGGTAGCAGTATAACTACATTACTAAGGCTTCACAAAAGCTACAGCGTTTTTGAAAAACAATGAAGAACTTGGTGAAATTAGCTGAAACTTTGCAATGTTGAGTCTTTTATCGATATTAACTCATGGCCGAAATATTTAATCAAAATATGGAAACGTTCTTATTGAAATACATTTCCCGACTTCATGGGCGGTAGCAGTATAACTACATTACTAAGGCTTCACAAAAGCTACAGCGTTTTTGAAAAACAATGAAGAACTTGGTGAAATTAGCTGAAACTTTGCAATGTTGAGTCTTTTATCGATATTAACTCATGGCCGAAATATTAAATCAAAATATAGAAACGTTCTTATTGAAATACATTTCCCGACTTCATGGGCGGTAGTAGTATAACTACATACTAAGGCTTCACAAAAGCTACAGCGTTTTTGAAAAACAATTAAGAACTTGGTGAAATTAGCTGAAACTTTGCAATGTTGAGTCTTTTATCGATATTAACTCATGGCCGAAATATTTAATCAAAATATGGAAACGTTCTTATTGAAATACATTTCCCGACTTCATGGGCGGTAGCAGTATATAACTACATACTAAGGCTTCACAAAAGCTACAGCGTTTTTGAAAAACAATGAAGAACTTGGTGAAATTAGCTGAAACTTTGCAATGTTGAGTCTTTTATCGATATTAACTCATGGCCGAAATATTTAATCAAAATATGGAAACGTTCTTATTGAAATACATTTCCCGACTTCATGGGCGGTACCAGTATATAACTACATACTAAGGCTTCACAAAAGCTACAGCATTTTTGGAAAACAATTAAGAACTTGGTGAAATTAGCTGAAACTTTGCAATATTGAGTCTTTTATCGATATTAACTCATGGCCGAAATATTTAATCAAAATATGGAAACGTTCTTATTGAAATACATTTCCCGACTTCATGGGCGGTACCAGTATATAACTACATACTAAGGCTTCACAAAAGCTACAGCATTTTTGGAAAACAATTAAGAACTTGGTGAAATTAGCTGAAACTTTGCAATATTGAGTCTTTTATCGATATTAACTCATGGCCGAAATATTTAATCAAAATATGGAAACGTTCTTATTGAAATACATTTCCCGACTTCATGGGCGGTAGCAGTATAACTACATTACTAAGGCTTCACAAAAGCTACAGCGTTTTTGAAAAACAATGAAGAACTTGGTGAAATTAGCTGAAACTTTGCAATGTTGAGTCTTTTATCGATATTAACTCATGGCCGAAATATTAAATGAGAATATAGAATCGTTCCGAATAATTGAAACCATGGGTTGGAATCGAACCAACCGTGAACAGCCAGTCATGGTCTTTGTGTCAAAAGAGAAGGTGAACAGTCCTAGTTGGTTTTGGAGGTGAGGGTATTACTCTACGCTTTCAAACAGCACTTTAAGCTTTCACTATAAATTAAATAATATTGATTTTGCAGAGCAGAGAAAACCGGAGTCACTGAGTAAACTACTTCAAAGTATTTGAGAGATACCTATACTCCATTTAAATTATTAAAACAAACAAAACAATGCACTAACATTCACGTTAGCAACTTTTATGTAACAAAATAGCAAAATGAAACACATATACCTGTGTATACACATGTGTTATTATATGAGTCACCTGACAATTAAACCGTGTGAAAACTCATGTCTAACGATTTACCATAAAATATATACACATTATATTTATAGTAAAGAATCACAATCATTAGTTATGTTTTAAACCTTTGTTTGCCGCACGTTCTAGAGCAACGCCGGGTGTTCTTTTTAAGTTTCTTCTTCATCAGACTTCTCTTCGTCGGAATATTCGTAATCCGTACCATACTCTTCATTCAGTACAGAGACAAGAATATCTAGCACATTTTCTTCTTCTAGCTCGCTTTCTCTATCTTCATTTCCAGCATCATCGTCTAACTCCATCTCGAATTTATCTGCCTCATCACATGTCAGAAATATTCCATCGTCTTCTGGTAATGCTGCATGTTCATCCATGTAAGGTGCAAATAAAGAATTCAGATGCAGCAGCACGATGTCAAGCGTGTCTTTCTCGGTCAGTACCATCACCAATAGTCCTGTTGACTCAGGACTCTCTTGCTCTTTTCTTAATTCTTCCGACCACGTTGCAAGTGCAGATACTCTTGCTGAATAGAATTCAAGAACTCTGGCCATTTCGTTTTTAATTAAGTCAACTTCTTCAGTAGAACGGTTGATGATGTGGTTAAAATCAATTATCTTGCGTCGGATGTAGTATGGAACTGGGAAATCAGCATCAGCCTCTTCTTCTAGATGATTCCATATAGTCGAGTTTAGATCGGTGATTTCTTCAAACGTAACACTGGCAGGATATTTAGATTGGTGGTGTTCGGTAATCTTTTTATCGTATTCTCTCACCAGCTTCTTAATCGTGTTTGTCGTTTTATTTATTTGGCCACAGATCTTTTTCGCAATGGCTTGCCCGTCTGTAAATTCAAATATAACAACTTAGATTTCATCGCACAACACTCTGATGTTTTGAAAATACAATCACAACAAAGTACAAAGGATTGACCAAAATTATTTTAAAGTTTAATTTCTCTTTAGTAGTTTGTTACCATGATAAAACAAAGTACTTCTTTCGATGCATTTAAATTCACAGTGTTTTACATCATGTTAATTAATAAAATCATTTTTGAGTTATCGTGTACAGTATCACGCGATGTACAAAACGACAATAGCTAGTGGCCAAGTATATATCACTGAGAGCTAGTGGCTAAGTATATATCAAGTGGAAATCTCTTGATTAGTAATTTCATTAATTGTATAATATAAACCTGCATATTTTTTCATAAGCTGCAGCAAAAACCAACGTTCCAAACATCTTGCACGCATATCACTCAACAATTCATTTCTACGTGTATCTTCCGCTTTGGTAACATACAATTTGAATGCTGGGTGATCTTGACTCCAACGCTGCTGACCGTTCTCAATTTTCTTCAGTTGTTCATTTTTGCTAAATTATTCAAACAAAGAAAACTTAACATTCACTAACATTGCACTAACATTCACGTTAGCAACTTTTAAGAAACAAAATAGCAAAAATGAAACATATACTGTACTGTACGTACCTGTTCAATTTAGAACTTAAAATTGAAAATTCTTCACTGTCCACCTCGATCTCTGCAAGCTTGGCTCTTTATATAAAATTAACATAATGTAACTAATGAATTATCGTATGTATACATTAAAACATTGGTATTTAATTATGATGGAAATAGTCAAACCTTGTGTCATAATACTCTTTCAACTTTTCCGCATACTGTTCTGTGACGTCCGTAACATTCGCTGTGGCTACAAATATTGTATAAATCCAAATAAAAAATTAAGTACCTTATAATTTATGCTGAACCAAGTAAACCAATTCAAGCTTGCGTACATTGTGTAGCAATCGCACAGGTCGTTTATGTATATAGTGATAAAAGTTCCTATATATACGTTAACTGGGTATTTATAAAGTGGGCACAGAACGACCTGCAGTGAAATTAGACAATAGCAATTGAGTAAACTGCTCTATATCGCTAACCTCTCTTCTCCGACTTCTTACTATAGAGATCTTTCTCAGACTTAGACCACTTTTCTATTGTTGTTACATTCAGGTGTATACCTATACCCAAAGAAAAATACAAATATGTACATGATTGAATTTGTATTTCCCGTAACAATTATACACAAAATTTGAAAAAATTAACAAACCGCTTTTACTAAGATTTTCAAGGAGCAGATTCAACTGCTCATTTGTGTCGGCTTTCATGTGCAATGCTTTCTTCAAATGATCGCACAAACGTTCGCGCTAGATTTGTCAAGATATTAAAACAATGTACTGTTTATTATAAAAAATGCTCAGAAAGTAGAGATATTCCGTAACAAAGAATGTATGAAAATAGATACCACCGATACTTATACCAATGAATTAGAACACTAAAAATAATTATTAGAGGATGAATACAATAATTATAAAAGTACTTATTATTTTGTATTTACCGATTTGCCCTAAAGATTTCTTTCTATAATGTAAGAGAAAGTCCGTCAGAGCATCAACTCGGTGTGACGGGGTCATTTCTTTGGTGATTTTTGAAGTTGGCCTAAGGTAAGACCACATTCGCTCCATCACTTCACCGTCGCTTAGACCAAACCCATTAATTCTCCGGCCACTATATGACACCTGATCAGCCAAAAGATTATTATAAAAATTTAATATCACACTAACATACACCAAAAACATGGAAAAACAATGTAGCTACTGAAAATTATAACCGTGGAAAAATAGACATTTATAAATATATATGTTTAAAGATTTATAAATATATATGTTTAAAGATTTGTAATCCAGGCATATTTATTTTTTTTACGTGAATTCAAAGAAGCTTGGTTTAGTACAGACGACAATACTATTAACAGACATATCGACATTCCTGCAGTCTATCTGCAACTTAAGACAAAACGTAAGGACTCTATCAATAATCACATCAATATAACTAATAATAACTTAAATCCACCCGCATCTGATACACAACAATCTAATCATTCCACAGCGACCATCCCTGACAACGAAATGCAGTCAACCATGACAACGCATCCCTCAACTACCACTGATATCAGATCAACTTCAAAACAACCAATCAGACGCTCTCAACGTATACAAAGTCTTAAAGAACAGCGCGAAACTTAAATATATAAAGCTAGACACATGTAAATAATTCAGATATTCTGAAGAAGACTCGAAGTACCGAGTCGAAAGCTCAATAAAAAACAATTTTAAATCCGGAGAACATTCATTGACAAACAATATATATATATATATTAGAAGTTTCATTTCTGCTGTAGTTCAATGTAAAAAAACTATTAGAAACAAGGAAAAAAAGTATACAATACAAAAAGTTAGGTACCTGACAAGATACTTTATGTCCATAGCAGTGAAATGTAGGAATGGCCACCTTAACATTTTCCAATAATGCCTCCTGATTTGTTCTCTAAATACACAATAAATAAATTCGAAATTATACAGATATACATCTAATTCGCTCTCTAAGTATTTGGGAATAACTTGTATAACTGACTGTAACATTATTTCACGGGAAATATTGTACCATCACATGCTGAATTTATGTTTATTTGAAATGAGGATTTTAATGAACCACCGTTCTCTTGATACTGTACAGGGGCACTTTCATTTAAATGGCGAAAATGGCCAGTCTGGGCCTATTGTATTTTTCTACAGACTGATTACTGGGGATTTTGGTGTTTTAAGCTCACATGATTTATATTGGTATTTTACCATTTTGGCTGCATAAAGGAAAGTGCCCAGGTTAAAATGAAGTGGTTGTACTGTGTAGGCTTTTGCAAACTTTTCAGTTAGATTTCAAAAGTCTGTACTTTGAATGCCTACAGTCTGTACCTTCAAATGAGATTCCAGTGTACATGCTATATCATAATACAAATAGATGTTCAAATTCTTGTTGTTTGTACTTTCTTTCAACCACTTCAGCAAATAAACTGCATTTCCAATTCTAAAACATGTAATTACAGCTCAGTGAAATTTATTACATTAACATGTTTTGTTCAATGCAACAATTAGTGAAGTGTCTAGAAACCTTTGGCAAATTTACTTACTCTTCCCCTCTTTTTAGACTAAAGAATTTTAAAGGCACTTCATGTCTGCAACCTGCTCCAAATATTGCAGTTTCATCTAATTTTTTAGTCTTCACCTTAGATCTGAGATTTGATCCAGCTTGGAAGTTATGGCAGGACACCTGCAATATAAAAATTTATAATAATTTTGCTACTCATAAGAATTTCATTACCTAAATGTATATATTGTACGTACTTGTGACTTTAATGATGATGTAACTTTGTAATTCTTCAAAAAAGAATCCACTTTTGTTTGCTCTATGAAAAGTGTTTCTCCATGGTTTGCTGGTCTAACACTTGTCCCAGCGCTTATCTTTCTCACACAGCCAAATAAAGCATCCAAAGATACATACATATTTCCACTTTTCTAAATGAAAGAAATTTAATTAAACTTTAAATAGTCAGTAATAATTCATGGCCATTAACTGTAGCCTACAGAATCAACTTGGCAAATGAAATATGACATGCACAAATTCCCTTTGAAAATTGTCTGGTGTTTAAGAATAAAGTTTCTTCAAGCCAATACTACATTTTCATTATTATCTTTACAAACAACAAAACCATTAAGGTATAGACAACAAGTATAAAGGATTTCCAAATAAATGCTACCTAGTACTGTATATACGTTTGTTTATATACAATGTACTGTTTACCTTAGGGCATGCAGGGCATTGACTAACATTATCCAACTGCACATTTTTCCCACCAAATGTATCCAGCATGTAGCTAAGGTAACGGTATTCTCCAAAATTTTCACCAACAAGTAGCCGATATATGTCCTTTACCTAAAAAATTAGATTAAATTCACCTAAATGCTATGGGTCTAACTGTTTTTTATTCTATTGGAAGTAAGTTGCAGACACTAATAATTAGACCCTACAATGTACTAGTATTGTCTTTAGTAATTATTATACTGTATATGCAATTAATACATACTAATGAATTAGAAGTTTGGCTTTGCAAATTTAGTCATAAAAGGGGAAGCCTTTGGAAGTAATGAGGTTGGGTTAAAATACTCACATAAACTGGTGAAAGAGAAGGCATAATCCAGTATATTGCCTGACATATCGACTTTAAAGATGTTCGGCATTCCAAGAAGATATATTTGACCAATTCCATAAGATTTTTTTCAAATGCTGCTTGTGGTTCCTTGGGTGATGAAGGCCACAAACCATGTTTCATTAATGTCACTGCTTCTGGCTCATGGCAACAGAATTTAAACTTCACAAGACGCTGTTGACCTAAACAAAATTCGTTGAAAAGAACACACAATTTATTTATTTAAAACACTCTCTCTTTTAATGGTCAGCCAGTTGATAGCCACTAGACCAATGTGTAAAAAAATAAATGACAAAACAGAGTATGAATAACATCCTGAACAATCCAAGATATGGATTAACATAATACTACTTACATGAGTTTGTGATGTTTCAATTTTATTATCAGATAGATTGTAATAAACTGCAAATGTCGCAAACTTGTGTTTATAGTCTTAATTGTTTTAATCCATATCTTTCATCTAAACGTTGCAAACTTGTGTTTATAGCCTTAATTGTTTTAATCCAGATTTCTCAGGATTATATTTTTCAGACTCAGTTTTCTTTTATTTTCCAAAAAAATACAATTGGACACATTATCAGTCAATGTATTGAATATCAATATAAAGCCATAGTAATTGCTTATTTAATTCATAGGAAAAAATGGAATCTTAGAAGTAGTCATGTTGGCAGGTAAAGAGACAGAGTATGGTAAGGAAATTGACACAGAATTTACACAATAATACAAAATTCATAAATGTATAATTGTAAGTGTGCTCATGTGATAAAAGAAAACACCTGACAATCAACGTCACAATATAATACCATAAACATACCATTTCTATTAACAACGACAACATCACGAGTATAACCATGATCTAAATTGTGATTTGTCTCCCAAACAACAACTTCTTTAAATTTGTATTGAATATACTTTTCAATCTACAATGCAACATACTCTCATCACATGACTTCATATACACAGTACATACATCCTGTCATCATATATGGCTTCAATACTATTACACTAAGGTTGCAGTATAAAAGAATCATTGAAATAAGCTCCTCAAAAAGCCCACATGACCTCTGCCAAAATGAGAGACCGTAACTTATAAATATTAACCCCAACACAGCTATATTACCTCCCAAATCTCAGGATAGTGGAAAGACTGACCAGAGGCATGAACAAGGTTTATATGTTCCTCACACATAAAATGTGCTGGGCCACAGTCAAGGCATCTACCACATGCACTTTCTTTGCATTCAGGAATTACACAACCTTGGTTGACAGGCATAGCTTGATGCTCCAGAAAAGCAGAGAAGAGTTGTTGTCGAATACCAAGCCAAGCATTCCCCAACTTAATCTTTCTATCGCGATAAGCCTTAATTTTCTTCTTCAAACGCATTTTACCACGCTTTGGTTTGAAGCTTGGCCCAACAATTTCATCTCCACCAAAGCTGACTTCTGGCTGCCCACATGCTGAAGTTTTAGGTAGAGAAGAGGACGTATATTTGTGAACATTAGTTCTTTCTGAATACTTTATGGGTACACTGAGCTTTGATCTCCGATTGACTTTCCCGTCTTTAAAGCTTACCACTTTAACAGTGTGTTTTGCTTTAAAACATCTTCGAGACGACATGGCTTTCTCAATTCATTGTTTATTTCAAATATTTTAAAAGTTGGATTTTAAACGATTTAAAACTATGGATTTTAAAAAGTTAGTCACCCAGTGAACTGGCGCCATATTTAATTCGCCAAAGCTGTTGTGTACTTGTGTCCAGGCTTTGATCTTAGGTACTCCGACAGTTGGTTTGGTTAGGTGTCTGATACCTACTATCACCGCATATATGCGCCAATTACGTTTCAATTTGATATGTTAATAAGCGTATAATTACGTGTGCATCGGGTGCTAAGAACCCTGTTTTGAAACTTCCTGTCACAAGGCGTCAAGAGTATTGTATTACCCAGTGCTATGACTGCTATCATACACGTAAGGGATATTGTCTGTTGCTTGCCGAAGGAGTTTATACAGTTTCTCAGGGCATATTGCTTTAACAATGGCGTCTGGAAATCAAGCAGAAAACACTGAGGTAGATATAGAATTGGTTATGGGATACGATGACAACAGATTTGATACGAAAGTAAACGACGAGTTCCACTGTTTGATATGTTGCAATGTATTGAAAGAGCCTGTGATGTGTCGAAATGAACATTATTTTTGTCGCGATTGTATCACAAAACATCTTCACCAAAATTGCCAAACATGCCCAACATGCGTTGATGAGCTGACTGCAGACACATTGCGCGAAGTCCCAAGAATCGTGAAGAATGTTTTAGATGGCCTAATGATTCGCTGTGATCATCACAACAGAGGATGTCGCGAACGTGTACAACTACAGCACTTGAAGCAACATGCAGACAAGTGCGACTTTCAACCAGTCATTTGCGGAAATGAAGGTTGCGACGAGCGAATCAATGAGCGAGATCGAATTTATCACGAGAATGAAGTTTGCGAGTTCAGACGATCAAAATGCAACAACTGTGAAAGTACCAATGTGGCGATTGAAGGCGTGAGAAGAAAGATTAAAAACATTGAAACGAATATGCTAGCTACTAACACGAGAACGGCAAACGTCGGAGCGAAAATTGAGAACATGGCCACGGAATTCGCAGAGATGACCACGAAAATTGCGAACCTCGAAACGAAAACAGTAGCAACGGCAACGAGCGCACACAATTTCGGAGGAGGGCTGAAAAAGCTGGAAAAAATAACAGCAGCTACTGACGCCACGTTAGCGGACGTGAAAGAGAATTCAGGAAATTTGAAGGAAAGAATGAAAAACGCCGACACCAAAACAGCGGATATGGCGAAAGATTTAGCAGAAATCAAAGGAAAGGTGCAAAACATGGAGACGAGCACGAAAAATATAAACAAGAATTTGGCAGAAATAGGAACCAAAATAAAAAACATAGAAAATAAAAGAGAGAAAACAAACAAAAAGATAACAATACTTATAGTACTCGTAATACTTCAGTTTTGTTTCCTAATACATATGATGAGGAAGTTTTCAAATGTGAATCTACAAGCCGTAACTCTTCTAGTATCACCATTTACGTTATTACTTTTTTGGTTATCTTTATAATGTAAGAAAAATACGTTCTCGTCTCTATAGTAGTGTTTCTCACTGAGAATTTAATTTTACATAAAAATCTATAAGCATTAAAAATTGAGTCAATAGTTTAGTTGTGTTGTAATTGCATGTTCAGTTTCCTTTTGTGAAAGTTTCCTCATCGCCATATGATGAGGAAATTTTATATAAATTTTCAAAAAGCATAATATAGTTACATACTCCATGTTATGGATTAAGCACTTTCTTTTGCACAAGAATGGAAAAGAGATAACAAATATTGCATGAATACTTAACAACATTTCGTCTTGTGACTTGTGATGACTTTCATCATAATAAAACTAGTACTCTTTTTGAAATGTTTGGTTATTGATAGTGATTTCGCGTCATATGCTATATCATGGACTGATCTTCTATTAATTAATGACTAAATAAATCCTTTGAATTCAAATATATGAATAATAAATGTCATAAAAAACTGTGGCCGGTTGTATCAAGTCCGTTTAGCTTAAACGGTGGTTAATTTATTAATAGAAAACAAGTCTATCGTTTTATTCAGCAAGCGAACTAGATGTTTTTGACCTTAATGCAAAAATACTGTTTACAACTACATATTCAGTGCATAATCTTCAAGTTGAGTCGTTCAAGAGAATTGTAAGAGTGTTATTTAATTTGGACTTATCACCGCTTAAGCTAACTGGCTTGATACAACCGGTCGCTGCATGGGCGTTGCGAAACTGAGATGCAATTCAGGTCGTTAAGGTGGTCGTATACCAGTTTTTTTTTTCTCTCATTTCGACTATTATACTATATTTGGGTTTTAAATTGTAAAAGATAAGTTCCTGACACTGAATCATTCACTTGCACAAATGTTGTGTCCATGATTACCCGGCAACGCCCATTTTATTGCGCAATATTAGCGGGTGGTACGCCAAAAATGATTACAATTAACAGTAAATGTTAGAGAGAGTTAAAAATGAACAAACTTATACCCAGGGCTCTTATGTTGTTTTTACTCGCGGCTGAGGGAAGCCCACTGAGCGCTAGTTATACTAAAATTCCAATTGTAACATGTTAATAATTGAAATTAATGACTTCGAATTCGTCTCGGTTTTTATTCAGCGATATTCACCTGGCCTTCGGCGAATAATTGCTAAATATTGTTGTTGTTTTCACTATTCTCATGGTTGTCCTGGCCTGGTTCATCACCAATTTTTACTCTGGCAACTGGAAACGATATTAACGCTCCGACGATTTCCAAACATCCAGCAATAATTAAAGGAAGTTTAAATGTGCCAGTTGCGTCTCTCAGAAAACCTAGAAACAGAAAGGATACTAACTGAATATAGAATACAGTACTAAAGAATACAGAAATTGCAAATGCCCGCAAGTGAAAAAGTACCTTTCCAGTGGTAGTTCGTATCCGAACGAAATGTTATGAACAGATGAGAAAGAGAGCAGAATAACCAAATCGAAAAATCTTAAGAAATTTTTCAGACCGAGTTAGACCGAGGTTTAACCTCCGTCTAACCCCCGCTGTTCGACCGCGATCCTTCGATTCAACCGCGATTCAACCCGGCGTGGTTTTGTTAGGTTATTTCTGGACAGCACTCTATCCTCCATGATGACATGTACTGAGTGGACGTAGTTCTTTGTAAATGCGCTGACCGAATGATTTTTGCCATTTCTTATGTTCATTCAAGGTTTCATTTAAAATATGCTCACCTGCAAGGGGTGGTCCAAGGAATATAAAAAATCCTTGAAATAAAAGTAGAAACCCAAAGCCTTGTGCTATATTTGCCGCTCCAACACACTCCAATACACAGAGACAAAGTGTAGAATTGTAAATACCATAAAATATCCCAGAGATGGCCGAGTATATTAATAACGTTATGTAAGTTGTACATAGGTAACTGAGAAGTGTAATTATACCATGTAAAAGGAGACATGATAAATTCAAAATAACCCGATATCTTATTATCATGTCCCCAATCTTTCCAGCTATAAGTCCGAATGTGATGCCAAAAATTCCAAAAACGACGTAAAACCATTTTGATTGGTTTTCGTGAATGCCGTACGCTTTAGCACGATCTGCCTAAAAGGGATCGATAGAGTTGTTATCTTAATTTAATGGTGGAATAAAACGTGATACCACAAAAAAGTACTTTTTATATAATCTAGTCGCCCCTGAGAGCTGGGCAAGAAGCCAGATAAATGGAAGCTTTTTTCTATTGACCAATGTTTGAACAAAAAGTGAACAGCTTATGATTTCATCTTAAAATGATATATAAGGTCTGTTCAAACGGTCCAATTTTGTTGGATCAAATTAACATTTGACGTATGAAATATAGTCGGCTATTGATGAAGCTGTAGTGCATTGGCTTCAGTGGATTTGCTGCTGATATACATAACAAGACAACGGACTATAAAACATCCGATCCACCAGAGGTGATCAAAATAAAAAGACGGCCAAGGGCGGCGGAACAGGGGGGGCTAGGGGGGCTTTAGCCCCCCCAGAAGTAAAAGTGGGGGAGCTAAGATTCATGAAGAATGCCAGAATGGGAGATTAAATATACAAATTATGTTACCACGAAGTCGTCAAATTAATGCTCGCCGGCGTCTTAAATTCTAATAAGATATCCCATATTGTGATACGGATCAAGCGAATGTAAATTGACTTTCTTTGATCTTTCTTAGTTGTATTTAACAGCAGA